CAAATGATGGGTCCAGCATTTGTGCAAGCACTGCTTAGCATGAACTCTAATCCTAGAAAGCCATTCAATCAGAATGAACATTGCAGCTGCCATTGGTTGTTTCCTCAATTATATCAAAGGTTTGGGGGTGTCCATTGGTTGTAGGTGTTGCTGTTTGTTATAGTTCGCTGAGCCATAACAATCACATCAGTCTAGAACTGATGTAAGCTTGGTTGGTTGGTTTTTTACCATTTATCACTTTTTGATTGGATGCTTCAACTATCATTCTGTCTTTTTCAAAGTAAGGTAGTTACTTGTGTAAGAAACAGATCTTAGCGTGCCTTTTTTGTATAATATATGTCAAAGAGTCATTTAACCATTCAGCTCCTGGTTATTGCTGAGCATTTGGTCAACACATCAAGGTCATAACCTAAGCCATGGACTTTGTGCAGTGTGGCTTACAACAGTCCCCAACACAATTGTTTGTGCCTGCAGCTGGAGGCGTGGGAAAGAGTGCACTCACCATTCAACTGATTCAGAACCAGTAAGTGCAGCTCCCTATCATGAGTTACTTGAATTAGGTACACATTCAGTGAGGTCATTATTCCACTTAGCATGTGTCTGGATCCCATGGATGACACCAGATCCAATATGTCTTCTGTTGTTGAATAGAATGTGTTTTGCTGATGGAATCTAGAACACAGATCCTGTAGTCTGTTTTTTGGATCAAATGTATATCTGTTTGGGATTGCCCTTTATCTTCTTGTTCTAAATGCATTGGTGGTTTAACAACTGCAAATATGTCATCATGATTTCTGTACCTGATCAATAATCATTTAGATCACTTCTCAAAATGTGGTATGTTTTGGCTATTTACATGGATCTGTTGGAGCAGGTTGACACAACAGCTTTAGCAAGAGTGCCCGTTTTTGGTTGGTTGGAGCCCGTCCAGCGGTGATGAGTTTGTTTTACGTTCAGTAAGGTGGCGCGCCGCAGCTCAGTGTGGTTGGCTGTTGCGTGTTTCAGTTTCGTGGACGAGTACGATCCGACCATCGAGGACTCGTACAGGAAGCAGGTGGTCATCGACGGCGAGACGTGCCTGTTGGACATCCTGGACACAGCAGGTCAAGAGGAGTACAGGTTAGTGGCGCCCCGCCTCCGTATCCGGGTACAGGGAAGGCACTGAACAGACCGGCGGGAGGTGGGGGTGCCGGTAGCGTAGTGGTTAACGCGTCTGCGGTTAACGCGTATGCGTTAGCCACTGCGCGTCTGGGGACCAGAGGTACAGGGTTAGATTCCCCGCGGTGCCCGCCCTTCTCGCCATGGTGAGAGGCAGGCGACGCCATATAGTCTCAGAAACTCAGTGCGTCGTAAAGACCCAGTGACACACACACACCAGTGGGAGATGTCCGTCTACGGCCAGCAGCGCCTCCACTGGTCGGCTGTGGTGTTGCGCTAATGGCATTAGACCGAAAGAAAAGCTTTGCTGTTTTACATGGTGTCATTGGTCCGTGTGTTACGGATTGCCCTGAATGCTTGCTAAGGTCTGATTGTGGCTCCCGTGGCAGGGGATAATTGCAGGGTGTTTTTTCTGTGTTGCGGATAACCGTTTCCTGTTTGCAAAGACATTTGCATATTATGTTTAATTATGTTTGACTGTCTGACACATCTACCACCTGCATCCCATACACACCCACACATCCGCCACATGGCCTCTATCCTGGAGTCGGCCGACTTGTATCGGATTAATTAGGACAACAGTTTTGGCACGGTCTGCCAGTTCTGGCACCACCCTCAACAAGGTGATCCTAGGGAGAGGTAATGTAAATTCAACAAAGAAAGCACCATGTAAAAACCGCACCGCCCCGCGATGCTGATGATTGTGTCGACCGCCTCCCGCCGCCCCGTGACGCTGGTGACGGCATTCACCGCCTGCACACCGGCAGCGCCATGCGAGACCAGTACATGAGGACTGGCGAGGGGTTCCTGCTGGTGTTTGCCGTGAACAACTCCAAGTCCTTCGAGGACATCAGCAGCTACCGGGAGCAGATTAAGCGGGTCAAGGACGCCGATATCGTGCCCATGATCTGTGAGTACTTGACAGCAGTCAGTCGTGTTTATGTGCTGCGCGTGTCGCCGGTTAGCCCTTCGCGCTCCTGTTAATTTTAATCTGCTGGTGGGGATGGGGGGAGCTGCGACAGCCGCAGCGCTGTGAGTTTGGGGTCCGTAGTTGCCTGTGGGCTGAACGCCCGGGGTTCATGAAGGACATGGTTGTTATGAAATGCACGTTTGTCGCATATTCTCCGTCAAAAAGTGTTTTGGTCAGTTTTCCCTCCCCTCCCCAAGTTCCTCATCTGTCGTTCTCCATTTCCGGACGTAGTTACTCCCGTATCAGTGTATATCTGCAGTCGGTGCCTGCCAGCTCTTAGCTTTGTTCCGTGATTTTTGGGTGTCAATCAGCCATGCCGTGAGAAGTAGGCTTCCTTGAGTGTTTTTTATCACGAGAACGGTGAGCACCGATTGGTCCCACGTACCAACTCGTTAACGTACCCTTTGGTTCCACGTACCCATTGGTCCTACGTGCCCGTTGGTCCCATGTACCCATTGGTCCTGTGTACCCATTGGTCCTACATACCCACTGGCCAATAATCCTACGCACCCATTGGCCCTTCATACTCATTTTTCCCATGTTCCCATTGGTCCTATGTACCCATCAGTTGTACATGCCCATTGGTCCTATGTCACTACGGTCCTACGTACCCGGCGTTCGGTAGTGCCCTCGTTCGTACATGTGCGGGGTCCGTTGGTGCCTGATAATGGGACGCGGATGTCCGAGATCTGCCAACGTCCCAGGCGTGAAGACATGGATCTCTGGACATGTTTGTTCAGCAGTTTTCAGTGTATAAAGTTTCTGCTGGAGCCTGATGAATTCTGGGTGCTTACACTTCTTGCTGTCTGATGTAGGCCCACGTGCATCTGGTTTTCGTTTCGGTTGCATACGTTCATGGCGGGTGCATCGCTGTTGGCCACGATCGCTTAAGACTGGCTGTTACCAGGCGTGCGCTCCGTGAACTATGAGGGTCCGCCAACCGGCAATGGTTTATTAGTTGGGGATACCCGAAATAGGGAGATGGCAGGCAGCAGACGTCTTGGGCCTTTGCATGCTTTTGTTGTGCAAGTGTCCGTGACCTGTGGCTGCTAATTCAATGTTGTGTCGGGGGGAGGGGCGGCTGTCGGTACGATTTCACGCGAACAGTTTACCTGTTTTCCCCAACACTCGTTCGTTTCTTGCCTCTGCTTTCAACGAACGCCAGCTCCGTTTCGCCTCTGAAACGCAAATACTTGTCTTCTTTAGTCGTTCAGCCACTCCTGTGTCTAAACCTTTCATAAGCTGAGGCTGTGGGTGTGCAAAAACAAAACATTCTGGTTCATGTGCTTTCCCTACCGCTTTGCCAGGAACAGATATGATGCGCACAAGTCCCCGGTTACCTCATGTCGCTCTCCTTGTGATTAAACAGCATTTCGATGCATGCAAAATGGGCAGGAATGCGCGATGGAATCATGTCACAACTCGCACCGTTCGTGTGAGCTGTGTTACGTGTGTTCAGCTGAATGAATGTGATGTAATAATACTTCACATTGGAGGTGATGGTCCGCTACCAGTGTGTGTGGGGGAAGCGGGGCGGTCAAATGCAGATGATCTACTCCACTCTCTTCTCTAAGTGCTCTCAGTCCACTCCACGCAGTGCACTGATGGCTGGAATCGGTGGATCTATCTGCCCACGGTGCTATCGGTGGATTGATCGCCGGGAGGAAATTGCCGGCAGTGTCCCTCAATGTACGAACGAGCTCACCGACTAGCACGATTTAGAAAGAGACTTCCACCTGTTAGAACTGTGAGATAGACCTTCTCCGGTGAGTGCGTGGGACTTGTCATGACCAGTTGGCATTATTATGTGTAGCCCGGGCACTTAAAACATGCGGTGAATACGTGGGACTTGCCATGACCAGTTGGCATTATTATGTGCAGCTCGGGCACCTAAAACATGCGGTGAATACGTGGGACTTGTCATGACCAGTTGGCATTATTATGTGCAGCTCGGGCGCCTAAAACATGCGGTGAATACGTGGGACTTGTCATGACCAGTGGGCATTATTATGTGCGGCCCGGGCACCTAAAGCTTGCGCAAATCGCTTCACTTTTCGTTGTTCAAGTCCAGGTTGGCCGGTCGAAGCTACAGACGACTAAGGTTTGAAGGATCCGTCAATTCATCCGCTATGTAGTGCAGATGCCAGTGGGTATGCCACATGTGGTTCTCAATTTTGGGTGATACGCGCAGTATCTGGCATGCGACGTATGCGTGCGTCTCGCATCTTGAGGGCTACGGACGACCTGTGCGCGGGCTCTCGCACACTTCGCTGTGCGCGCGTTTAGGTCGTTTCAGCGTGACGTCCCTGATGATCGTCGCCACCAGTGCGTTTTGAAGTCAATCACGGAGCAGGTGTTTGAGAAAGGTTCTAGCCAATAGGTCGCTGTTTCTTCTGACCAGGCTACGTTGGTGCTGACGAAGTGGCATTGATGCCTTGGGGTGAAACCTCAGACTCTGGGCGTTGTGAACTGTGCGGGAATGGCAAGCGATTAGTATGGACATAACTTGTTAACTGCCATCAGATTTATCACACAAAAAAAAACAGTTGATCACGTTTCGAACAGGTGTTTTGACTTTGGGTGGAAGGGCAAACGGTGAACAGATTTTGTGGGTACACGAGGAATGTTGTGATCCACGAAGGTCGCTGTTTGTAATGTCAAATTTATCCTGAGGCTAAATTCCAGAAAAGCAGCGTCGTAGCTCGAATCGGGCGTCCGTCATTTAGATTCACAGTACCGTCTTGAAAGAATGGCACAACGCGGCCAGACCCTGAAAAGCAGATTAATGAGGTGGGAAACCCTTGCGCCAGCTATGGTAGCTGTGGGAGGTCGGACGCGCCGAAAGGTCAGAGACAACCATGCGCGGATCCATACGGGAGTCGGTCATGTCGGGCGTTGAGCTCCTGCCTCAGCATGCACCAGTGTGGACCGTGTTTTGCAAAGTGGGTGGATGGACGTGGGCAGTTTAGGAGTGGTGAGAGAAAGTACGGGAGAATAATATATATATAATGCAAAATTCAGCCTTTTATCGTACAGTTTCGTGAAGGGCATTGCCACTGCATTTTAGCGGTTATTGACGCTGAGACAAGGACGCAACACGAGTGTTTTAAAGGCATTTCACATGTCGTGCCCTTACACCTGAATGTTCTTGTCGCTCACACTATTCCAGCACGACCGTATCTCAGCCCCGGTGCACTTATATATATATATATATGAATATGAATATATATAATATGATTTCCAAGAAGGCTATGCGAATGTAGAAGAACTATGGGTCAAAAAGTCGCACTTCCCTCGGTAAGCGCGTTAGTGAGATCCGGAAATAACTATGACATATTTGTGATGCTACGGATATGTCGTCCAACGTCATTATTCGAGTGCATACACAAAGCGTGTGATAGCGCATCGACGACAATCGGGAATAATAATAATGTGGGAGAATATGACCCAATTCAACAATTGCTTAGTTGATAGCCGAACCGCCGCTGTTTGCGATAGCCGTGTGGGTTGCTGTGTAGGCTCAGCCGCACCGCCGCTGTTGACGACGGCCGTGCGGGCTGCTAGGCTAGCTCATGCTGACCGGCGGTGGGTGACATGTAAAGGATAGAGGCATTCTGGTGTGCCGTTTGATTTCTGTTGAATTGTGGTGGCGGAAAATCATTGTAAGACACAGAAACTTTTGCGAAACATGTATGTTTTCCATAGGTTTTTCCGGTCCCGCAATGAACTTAGTAATAATTTGCACCTGCTGACAGCCATGCAACGAACGCTGTGATCGCCGGCATCTTTGCCTGTTAAGACTTTTGCATATGTAATGACGGCCAGGCGGTCAGGCCGCTGGCTGAGCGGATGTCTGACCCCGGCCGCCCAGTGTTGCAGTGGTGGGAGCCGCTTGCGCCGCAGCGGCGTTCTGACTCCCGCCGCTCTGTGTTGCAGTGGTGGGCAACAAGTGCGATCTGGCGACGCGAGCCGTCGACATGACCGAGGCCAAGGAAGTGGCGAAAAACTACGGCATTCCCTTCATCGAGACGTCGGCCAAGACGCGCATGGGTGTCGACGACGCCTTCTACACTCTAGTCAGGGAAATCAAACGCGATGTGAGTGGATGTTGACGGTGCCGCGTACATCCCGGGTGGATCGTGGCCGGGCTGTGAATGGTCAGCACCGACACCGGCACACTAGTCCAGAAACACGAGCGCGACGGCAGCTGGCAGCAGCAGTGACGTCTGATCATAGTCAATGACGGTCTGCACTTTGAGATCAGGCGCGACGCAAGCCGTCGGTTAAGACTCCCGCGTTGTAATCAGTGGAATCAGACGCGACGCAAGTGGTCGTGGATCGCGCGCTCTTCCTGTAGCTCTGCGCGGCAAACGCGGGGAGAGGGTCGTGAACGATGCTTTATACACTGAATTTAGGGAAGCCAAACTCGATGAGGGTACCCATGAACGCACGAACGCGTCACTCCTGCAACATACGGTGGGTAGAGGGCAGCCGCCACCGCCATCCTCAATAACCGAAAAATAGCACTTGAAATGCGTTGCATGGGAAGACTCTGCAACTCTTGCAACCCTTTGGCGTTGCATGGGAAGGAACGGTCATGAACACCACATTGAGCACTCCATTGATGAAAATCGCACGCGACATGAGTTCAGCCATGGCAGCTCCTGCTTTTCTAGTCATGAAAATTAAATGAGATGGAATATTCGTGGGCGGTACGTTCTTTGCCTGAGCCCCAGCAGGCCGACGAAGCGTTAGCAGACAGGTACTGCTGAGTCCAGGGCTTGTTTCCATTAAGTTTTGCCTGTGTCACAGGTAGGGAATGTGTAAGTGTCCGCGCATATGATCACCCTCCCTGTCTTTTATTTGATGTCAGATCGGTATCGTTACGTGCCATTTCGTTGCGGATTGTTTGTCATTAAATGCAGAGATTCTGAACAATGGTTGTCACTGCCGGAGCAGGTTTGCAAGTATATGTTTAAGTCGTGTTCCATATAAAACGGTGAAACGGTTACGGACGCCAATTGCTTGTAGCCTGTCATGGTGGTGTAAAAAATATTTCTGAACAATCCCAAAATGCATACCACCTGGCAATGTTTTCCACCGAATTTTTGGTGTTAAACCGTTAGCTCCAAAACTCATTTAACGTGTGGTTGTATGCATGTTTCTTTGTTGCCGTATGATTAAGGTAATCTATGCTGCTTCCGCTGTTCAGTGAAAGTTGGGTAACGAATTGATAGCTGTCGTAAGCATGCTACATGTAGCATAATCTTTCTACGTTGTAGTGACTGCTCTACTACATTGTACTGAAACACTCAAGCGATATACTGCCGGGATTCCTTAGAATGTCTGTTTTTTTATCATCCGCACAAACCGCGACCCTACCGTGCGAAACCGCTTCTTCCACGCCCTGTCTTTCAGTTTGAAGATGTGGCCTTCTTGGGCTTCCCTGTCCCGACAGTTGGCGCCCAGTCGTGTTTCGATTCTCCGTCGTCGACCTGCGTCGCGTTACAAGGCCTCTAGCGAGCGCCCAGTGTCACGCTGCCGGCCTCCGGGGCAGGGTCCGTCCCGAGGCCTGAGGGCGCCGCGGCCCATCCCGCTGACCCGCCCTCCCCGTCGGCAGAAGGAGCGACGAGGCCGCGAGAAGGGCAAGGTGGGCTACCTCGGCCGGAAGAAGTGGTGCTGCCTGCTGTAGAGGCGGCCGCGTCCGCCGCCGCCGCCGGTCCGTGTCTGTTCCGTGTTCCCCGCGCGTCGCCCAGCCGGTCGCCACGCACCGCACGCACAATGGCAGCCGGCGGCCATGGCGGCCAACGCGGCAACCGCGCCCGCGTTAGTGTTCTCTTCGCCATTTTCAACGCTGCGGCGTTTTCGATGCGGTCGGCGTGGCGTGTGGTAGCCGGTGTGCGATATTGATGACTGTCTTGGTTAGAAGTTGTAGAGTTGTGTAAGTAATACCCGACTACCGGCTCAGTCGCTGCCTTTCCTCATCTTTTGCGGACGGCGTTCTGTAGACAGCTCTGACAACCGACTCTTGTAAACTCACTTCGTCCGCGACGTGTGCACGCTTTTTTGAATGTTTTCCACCGACTCGGTGCGCGTGTTCTATGCCCTTTGAAGGGGTGCCTGTTGATTCCACGCGTGAGTGACCAGTTCTGCATCAGCCCGCGTGTTTTCTCCGTGTCGCGCCCGGAGCCGTGGTTTTAGTTGCGGACGGCGGGGCTGCCGCCGTGCCCGCAGGTGATTTTGTACCGGCCGGCGGGCGGCGCCAGTGTCCGCCATACTCGTAGGCTATATGGCGCGGCGGGCGGCCGCTGTTGGCGGCGCGCGCGCGCGCGGCGTCCCGTCCGCGGACGGAGCCACCTCGGCTGCTAACCTTGGGCCGGCCCCCTCGGCAGCAGGCGGCACCGTGCCCACACTAATACTGGGGGCGGCCTCTCATCGCTGTACTGTTCTCTCTCGCCGCCGCTGCGACGGCCAATCGGATTCTCTATGTTCTTACTGGTGCTAAATGTAGTATCTCAATTTATAAAGATTGCTAAGTGAACGTGGCGTCTGCCGGAAGATGACAGTATGGGCTGGAGTAATGGCGCTGCTCACGCACAACACTGCTTCGTGAAATTGTGAACGTTAACTTTAAAACTCAGTGTAACATCAAGAAAGCGTAGCTGTGTGAAACACTGCGAAAAGTGACGATGTAAAGTACTGAAGGGACTCGTGCTAGAACCAGGCACGTCTTTTGACAGGAGTTTTGACCTCGGTGAATGTCAGACGCGCTGGTTGTTCCGGTTCCTGGCTTGGTGCCTCTTCAGATGTCCTGCGCAATGAGCCGGTAAATGGCATAGTATTGGTGCCGAAATCATTACAACTTGCGGGTAAGCAAATGACTTCGAATACCGTACCCGTAGCCCGGGTAAAGAAGCAAAGCCAGGTACAAGTCCGCGCGCTGTATTCATTTACAAGCCCCCATCTGAGTTCACAACGACAATAGAGCTGACTAACTATTGCGAACGCTGCAGCAGGGCGGCGCGCCGTGATCACCCCTTCTGGCTGGAGCTTCCAGTCTCCTTTCTGGCACCTCCATCGGTCTCGCCGTGATGGCACAGCGAAGCCATCGTCGCGAGGCACCCGGAATCATGTGAGCGCTCCCATTTGTCTCCAAACAACGAACAAATGGCCTCGACTTTCCGGGGCCCACGCCACCCCGGACCCAAACGAACACTACGAAAGAGCGAGATTCCCCGCACCCACCCCTCACGTCCGCCGCGTCTTCCGACTCAGCGTCTGGAAGAGGTTGTCGGTCTCGTCGATGGCCTGCTGGTGCTCCAGCCGGAAGTCGCTGTCGTAGTACTCGTAGTCGTAGTCCGAGTCCGGGTCCTTGCGCGCGCTGCCCGGCGAGCTTGAGGCGAACAGAATGTCGGAGAGGCGCGCGTCAAGCAGGGGCGCGCGGGTGGTCGAGCGCACCACGCGGTTGAACGCGATCGGACTCGTGTTACGCGAGCGGCCCGTGCGCTCCGACGCCAGGCTGTTGACGTCGTTGAGACGGCGCGTCTGCGCGGCGATGGGCAGCGCCGAGCTCAGCTGCAGCTTTGGCCGCAGGAAAAAGCCGTTCTGCCGGCCCAGGCGCGACGCCTCCTTGTTGGTCGGCAGCGTGCTCGTCTCGCCGGCCGGCGTCGTCGTCGTCGTCGGCAGCGGCGTCGGCGTCGTTGTTGGCGCCTGTGTCGTGGTCGGTCGCCGGCTCGGCCTGCCGCGCACGCGGATCCGCTTTCGGATGACCAGCGGCGCGGCAGCGGTGGCCGGCGGCGCTGTCGGTCGTCGGCCTGCCGGCTGCCGTGGCGTCACAGTGGGCCGACGGAGCGGCGGCGCGACAGTGGTGCCGCGCGGCCGTGCCGGTACGAACCTCTGCCGGCCGCGGGACCCCGTGTCGATGGAGCGGTTGTTTGCCTCAGAGCTGGGGAAGCGCCGCGCCTGCGGTGCTTTCCTCCTCTTCCTTGTCCTCAGCGTTCTCCTCGGCGTCCTCCAGCAGGTTCAAGTCCTCCGAGAGCGCCGCTACCTCGGCGATGACGTCCTGCGGGCTGGGTGCTCGCGCTGGCTGTGACGGCCGGTTGGCGCGCCCGCGGCCGGCGCGCACGTACTGCACCGGCTTTAGGTCGCCGCCGGGCAAGCGAGGGTCGAAGCGGCGACTGCCTCGACCGCGAGGGCGTGACGGCCGCGGTGACGCCGGTGCTGTGTCAATCTCGTTGCTCAACTCTGCCGCTGACGCGGCGTCGACTTGGGAAGCGGCGGGACGAGGGCTGGTGCGGGCGGCAGGACGGGGGCTTCCACGGGCCACAGTTGGACGGGGGCTTCCACGGGCCACAGCTGGACGGGGGCTTCCACGGGCCACAGTTGGACGGGGGCCTCCCCGAGCTACGGTGGGGCGAGGGCCCCGAGCGACCGAAGGACGGGAGCTGCCAGGGGACGCGGTAGGACGGGGACTGGCTTCAGCCACCGCGGGACGGGAACTCGCAGCTGTCTGGGACGGGACGGCGCTGGGCGTCGCCGGGCTGGGGCTGACCGCGCCGCGTACAGTGGCCGGCGCGCGGTTCGTCTGGCCACGGCGTGCGCCGCCGCGCCGCCGCGAACCCCGCCGTCGGCCGACGGTGGTGCCGGTGGCGGCCGAGGCCGCAGCGGGGACAGGCGGCCGGCGACGGCGGAAGTTCGGCGCGCCGCCGCCAGATGGCCGCGGGCGGAACGTCGTGACGGCGCTGCCGTCGCCGGAGAGGCGTGTCGAGGGGCTGCGCGTGGGTACGGTGGCGCTGAACCGACCGCCAGGCGTCACTGTGGTCGCCACCGCGGCGCTGCCGGTGTCGTCGATGTAGTTAATGTCGTCATCGACGTAAACCACGTCGTCCTCACTGACAGTGACGTCTTGCAGGCGGTCCGCGTCGACGCTGTTGAGCCGGAAGGTGTTGCGGCCGCGGCCGCGTGGGCGCGGCCCGCCACCGGACGCCGCAGGCTGCGGCAGCACGTTCGCTCCGAAGAAGCGGCCTGCCACGGGGCTGACAGTGCGCGCCGGCTCATCCGGCCGAGGGGTCGTTCCGCGCACAAACGGCGCTACCGACGACACGGCCACAGCGCGCTGCGGTGTCGGCGTCACAGGCTGCGCGCTGGGGGGCCGCGCCGTGACGGGCGCCGTCGTTTGCGCCGCCGGCGGCGAGCTCGGCTGGAAGGCGACCTCGCTCCCCTGCGTCGAGCCGGCCTGCGTCGGCGGAGGCACGCGGGGTAATGAGACCACCGAGCTCGCGCGGCTGTCAACGGCTGTGCCGAAGGAGAAGGAGCCGCCACTGCCGAAGGCGAAGCTGGACTGTGGTACGCTGGTGAAGCCGAACGGGAACGTGCCCGTGGTAGTGAATACGGGCCTCGGCGTGCTGAAGGAGACACCGGCGCTGGGCGTAGCGGCTGCGGACGGTGTGAAGGCAGCCGGGCGGGGCGACGTGGGCGCCGGCCGGCTGGCCGTGGTGCGGCTGGTAACAACCCGTGCCGGCGCCCCCGGCGTGCCAGCGAACGAGAATGGTCGCTGCGAGGATGACGAGGCGCCTCGGGCGGCGGCGGGCGGCGCCGACGGCGTCTGGCGGGAGGGCGCTGTTGTTCCCGGAGACGCCGCGAAGGTGCTCTGGTCGCGGAAGCTGGCACCGGCCGCCGAGGACAGCGAGGGCCGCGGTGTGGTGGCCGCCGTGGTCTGGTCGAACCGCCGCGGGGCCTTGTTGGCGGTGAAGCTGGCGGCCGGGACGCGTGTCACCGGAGCCTGCGTCACCGGAGCCTGCGTCACCGGCCGGCGCGTCACCGGGGCTCTGGAGGGCAGCACCTGCTGACCGCCGACGGAGCGCCCGCCGCCGCCGCCGCCGATCAGGCGTCCGATGCCGCCCAGCTCTGGCTGGTAGTCGTAGTCGTCTAGCGGCGGCAGGCTGTCCTCATCGAGCGCGTTGAACTCGACCTCCTCCTCGGCGCCTGTCTTGAAGATCTCGAAGTTGCGCGCGTACAGCACGGTGGCGCGGTCGCAGCTGACTTGAAACCAGCTGGCGCAGATCAGGTGTTGCTGGTCGAATACGGTGTTGTTCGGGCAGAGGAAGCGAAAGCTGGTGCGCTGGAAATGGGCGGACGCAGCGTGAGACAAGTGACGTCATCAGAGGATTTTAGAAAAGTTCCGCTTCGCTCCGTAATGCATGAGGTCGATGCAACAGACGTATATTTGATCATTGCTTGCGTGAGCGGCTGCCTTTACACATTGTTGACAAGCTAACGAAGTCGATGCAATAGGTCATGGTTCGGAACAACGATGGTGCATCACATGGTCATTAACTCGACATAGATCTGTTAACGGCACCCGTAGTGAGTCTCATTGTCTATTGTGAGGAAACAAATGATAGTGTTTTGATGATTCCCAACAACGTTTATGCTTGCACCCTGGCTTATATCCGAACCGGCGCTGTATCTTGCGCTTGATTCTGTATTCCGTATCTTGCCTAAAGGAATTGCAGCAGAATTCCAACATTCATATTTACGTTGCACTGCGTGTGCACCGTACGTAAGCTGATATATACACGGTTAGAAGCCACAGTCTCAGTATGTCCTCCGGTTGTCCTATTGTATACAGCGACATCGCTCATAACACACGCTATATAAAAATCTAGTCAGAAGCGAAAGGGAATGGTCACGCTGTCACGCTTTTTCAGAACCTCCCAGCTCCTGCGAGCCGAGCCAGGCTGTCGGCTGTAACGGCTCGCAGTGACTCAGTAATCAGCGTCGGCGCCCAGTGACCGGTCCCATGTCACTGTCCGGTCGGCGCGCCGTTCACTGTCCGCCGCGGTCGCCGGTTGCCGTTCCGTCACTGTCCGGTCCTGCCGTCGTCCGGTCCGGTCCGGTCCGGTCGGGCGGGCGGCGTGCGGCGGTCACGCGGCGCCGCGGGCGGTCCGGCCGCCAGCCGCGAGCGGCCGCCTGACCCCTGACCTGTGACGTGCCGCACACATGAAACATCTGGCAGCCGGCCTCCACGTCGGCGTAGTAGCCGCCCACCACGCGACCCTCGCACGTGAAGCTGGTGTCTGGCAGCGCGTCGTAGCTGTAGTTGGGCGGCGGCTGCTGGCCGCCGGTTAGCAGGGGTGCGCCGAGCACCAGCACCAGCACCAGAGCGGCGCAGGCCGCTGTAACACAGGCGACGGTTATCCTGCTGGCGGCACTGGCCCCCTCCCGTCATCAGGGCGGCGCAGGCCGCTGTAACACAGACTATGGTTATCCTCCCTGTAGGCGCTGGCTTCTCCTCTTCCTCAGAGCGACATAGCTGCTGTAAAACGGACATGCGCTAGTTCTATGACTAGTTCTATGACTAGGCAGGAACAACGGGTCGGGCAGGGTGACGTCAGAGGAGCGAGACGAAACCCTTCCCTGCGGGCCGGGCGGTCGCCGTCGCTTTAGTCAGCGTCGCTGAACGGTCGACCTTCCTGATGCACTTGGAATGCAGGAAATTGTCCTTTATTTGAAAGGTGATCTTGGCCCATGCCCCGGCAGTAGAGGTTCCGCAGCGCGGACGTGTTGCCCCAGTGAGTTGATTTAGTGCATGCTGCAAGCTGGACGTTGGTGATTTCAAAGCATGGCTGATTCGATTCCGTTCACCGTGTTAATTTGGCTGTTAGTGCTTACGCTGCGGAATTCTTCCCATCAAAACATGAGTTGCGTGGACATATTTGTGATGCATGTCACTCATCGACGAGATAAGATAAGAGATACAATATCCAGCATGACTGCAAATGTGTCGAAAGCGTAGCTGACCTGTGGCTAATGCTCGTAGCATGTTTTTGTGCAGATCCAGTACACGAAAAAAGCGTAACACTTCGAACAAACTTAAGGGAACAACCTATGCTATTTTCATTATTTTTTCAATTTGATCCGAACCCTTTGAATGGATGAATTTCTGGGATCAGCGCTCACGCTAACAATGCCTGTTGTGTGAGCCCTGAACCCCACCACCCGATCGCGCAATTCCAGGCAACGGCAGAATTTGGTGGCGAAAGCTTAACATGCCGCAATGGTCGGCACGGTCCGTCCTGCCTCTGACGTGAACTGACCTTTATCGCGACCGCCGCCACCGGCCGCAGGCCATACCTGTCGAGGGCAAATAGCGAGCGCCCTAAAGCGACTCGAACCTACCCTGCCGCTGGCGGGTGGAGCGGAAGACAGGCGCTCTAACCAACTGAGCCACCTGAACGGAGTTCGCAGCAGATCACCACGCATATGAATACAATTCTGGCTTGGTCGACGGGTGCGCTCCCACTGACCCTTCTCGGCCACGATCAAACGTGAACTGTGAAGTGTGTCGGGCGTTCATAATGAACGGTTGCCACACATGCGAGGCACTGACTAATAAATTAGCATCAAAACGGCACTGCAAACGGCTTTGAAGCCAAAGGTCAGAGAGATTTGGAAATATCAGCATGGTCCATCAAAGCTGAAATTCTTCAACCGAGCCGATCGAAGCTGGAATAGCTCGGCTGGTAATCTGACGCCTTTGTGACGAGAGGAAGGCAAATATGAGAATGGCGATACAACGACATGACCAATAACGATTCGTTGGACATCGGAGGCAAATCGGAAGAACCTAGATCTCCCTTGACAAGGAACAACAGGACTAGGACGGAGGCCCCGATCCGACCAGATATTTTATCTCACAGACAGCCGAGGTACTTAGTCAGCGCCAAACAACGCGCCTACGGTCGCACCGGGACTCGATAAAATGTCATCCGATGCGGTTGTTTTGCTTCTGAATGGCCGACGGCTGGAGTGGTGGCCCTCTCCAGATCTTTTCCAGGCCATCCCCAGAGGAGGTGTCGGACTATCGAAGGGACGATTGAGTCTTTACTGGGAGCCGGGAGCTTGAACCATCCCAAGAGGCAGTTCAGTGGAGACATCAGTGAGCAGGTGGGCAGCCTCGGGCCACTGCCAGTGACATTCAAATCAGACCCAGCCCATCATTACCAGGCCTATCTTCCCTCACCGCAAGACCCACAGAGAACCGAACAGGTGGCTGGGCATGCCTTTATGCTAAGCAGGGCGCAAATACACGATGCCCCGCAGCCCCCGTCACAGACATTCGTCCTTGGTCGACAGACTCACCATCAATTAGAGACAGTGTTCGCGCCTTGCTGCCACACTCAGAGTCATATGCCCCCGCCCCCCCCCCCCCCCTCTTTTCGCAACGTGCCTGGGCTTGGCGGTGACTGGAAGATCACGGGCCTGGCAGACGGCGGCCGGCTCTAATGGACGACCGCGGCCGCGCGCTTTACCTCCGGCGAGAGAGGCGCGCACACAAAGCCGTGTTGAAACGACAATTGCCCCTTGACCTTTCCAATCTGTGAGCACACTGGAACTCGAATAATTATTTTCGTAGCGGCCGGCGCGCGCGATGGGCGGTGATGAAACCGTGACATCGCCTGTTTGTACGTGATATCGCGCCGCTGTACGAGGTTGCCTCTCCTGTCCGCAGCTGCGCATGAATTCCGCGCCGTCGCGAGACCGACGCGATCGCGACGAGGGTGACGCGGTCGCGGGGGGGGGGGGGGGGCAACGCAGTCACGGGTGACACGTTCGCGGCGGGTTCGCTACGGCGGCCACCCGGCCGGCGGGGGGGGGGGCGGGCGTAGATGGCGCCCCCGTTCGGTGTCGACACGCCGGCCCTGCCCGCCGCCTGCGCCGCGGGGCGATCGCGATCTGTGCCGCCGCTCCGCCGCGTCGGGTCACCCAGCGAATTAACCCCGTGTCGTGACCGGCCGTCCCCCGGACCAGAGGGCGAGCGGCGGGCGTCGTGCCGTCGGCCGTGGCCCGCCCCGGCCCCGCCCGGCCCGCCTCTCATTGTGAGCGCCGCTCGGGGACAGGCCCGAGGTGCCGCCGCCGCAGGGCAGGTGAGGCCGCGCTGGAACCGCGGGCTGTCGGATTCGGTACGGGTCGGGCGTCGGACGCATGCCTTTACCGCGCTTGGTTCTGCTTTGATGGACGGAGATAGCGCGCGCGGTTACAATGGCCGCACGCTCTAGCGGTCCACAGAAACACACAGATCTTTGGCGGTCAGACCGTGTCAAGGAATTCCGGCACTGTGGCCAATGGAGAGGCCCAGCGCAGCGTTTGCACCAATGAACATTGAGCAGTAACAACCAGTCTGGTCCCTGGGCCGTACAACAATGACCTTAAACCTACATTAGCACCATAGACAGTGAGTGTGCCATTGCGATCGCGGTAAGTGTGCTGCGACAGCCGCCGATCAAATAGAAAAGTCTTTAGATTCCTACCGCACGTGCGGTGCGTAAATATCCGTATGCTTGCCGCGTCCGCTGTATGTGACTATTAAGGAGGGAAACATTTCACAATAGGTAGACATAGGGTCAGTTAGAGGCATTACGCACATGAAAATGATGAGATTTGATGGGTCTGCCTCAAGCTAATCAAGTTTGCCGATTATGCCAATTTCCACGTGATTTTGTTCACGTATGCTTGGGTGTCCCAGCAGCTTTTGCAGCATAGACAATATTCAACAAGTTACTTACACATTCTATTATCACATACTTTTCTGTAGATGCCCTTATATTGTAGGCAAACCCTTTGGCGAGACCAAATAAAAGCCTCACACAGCGACAATAGACAAATAAGGGTGACAAACATAGCACAGGCCTGAAATTTGGGGAGAGGGAGCACAGGAATGGGAAATGTTTGAATAGTTGATTTCTAGGTATGATAGCTGGGCTTCACTTTCAGGCCAATAATGCTTTGTTTTGTAGACGGAACGTTACCTTCCGAGATGCCTGTTGTGACACTCATGCTAAATCCATTCCACACCAGCGGAATGGATTCATGATCCTATGATCGAAGGTGTTCTCATTTCGACAAGCGGTTTTCACTAACCAGGTCTCTGCGTAGCCATCGCACTCTTGTCTGGAGTTTATTGTCAGCCGATCCCTCTCGAGCTGAAAAGAAGGGACAATTAATTACGGAGAACCGAGCCGCGGCAGAACCGATCGTCGGACACCCATCCAGCGGCAGCGGTAATAATTAGCTGCAGCAGCCTTGGGCACGGTTCGCACGAAGCCCCGTTCCGCTGATGACTGGTGGTAGTCGATGAAGCTGGTGGAGGTCGCCTGTAAGGATGCACCCACGTCACGCTTGCCCTAGAAACGGGCCGTGCGAGCTGGCCATGCCTGTCGCGAGCCTCATCTTGTCGAGATCCAAAAGAAGGGAACTGTGGGGAGCGGGTCTTAGCGATAGGGGAGGGGTTGTAATGTCGGGAGGAGATGTGGGTCAGTCTTAACGTCACCATGACGTCCCGTGCGCCACAGCTGGGGAGGAAAGGAAAAGAGGGGCAGTTGCGAACGCGAGTATGAGCGCAGCTCAAGGCCGCTTGCCAGGCGGTTTATGGTTCCCACATATGCAGCTCGTTTTGGCAATCCGTGCCCGAAGATCTAGGGCGGTCCTAAATAACCCACGCTGTTGCACCCGCGCAATACCAAAAAGCACAACATCCGCACCCATCCGCGGCATCAGATGGTAGCCAACCAATGTCCTCAGTCGCGTCTTCTTTAATCCAAGCTTCGCGCTATCCAGTAAAGCGGCGTTGCAGCGTCGGGTATTTGTTGTACAACATTATCTAACGCGGAACGGTCACCACAAGCTTTCATCCCCTCGTAATGGCCGATGTTGGCCGACGTCGCATGAGGCATTCGCCGTGTTGGTCCCGTCTTGTGTCTCCGTGCGAGATAAACTGGAGGCGGGAGATGCTAAGCTGGACGGTATGGAAATCGCCTGCTCCATGAACCAAAGCGCCCCGCTGAGCGGTCCGGGAGGAGGAAAAGAAGGGTCGGTGCCGGCAAAAACTGCCGGCCGGCCTGCCGTCTGCACAATACCGCATTGTTCGCCCGGCTCCGCCACGACCGAGTAACACCGCACAGTAATTACAGTCGTGGGATCCCATTGCGGCGCGACCGGCTAAAGTGGCGCAAAACGCGACGCGATCGTCGCGGCGGCGAAAGGTGCGCGCCGCGACGCAGACGAAGGAAACGGTCGCGTCGCGGCAATTGACTGGTTTGAGAAGTGGAATAGGCGATTACGGGATTGGAAGGCGCACAGTGAAGAAAAGAAGAAATCAGTCTCTTACACAAGGCTATCGCTTGCATTGCGCGAGATCGCGGTGAATCGAATGGAGCACACCTGTGGGCGATTTGGGGTAGCATACGAAGCAGCGTGGGGGGAATAGCTGCAGTGGGTACAGCATATTTAGGCGCTGCATGCGGTCTGTAAACTGCCGACTGATACAATTAGCGTGCAGTCACGGTGTGCAGCATCTGAAACAGCATGGGTCAGCTCAGATCGATGAAGCATCCACTGTCGGATGCTGTTATTGTCAGATACACTTTGCTAGTTTTCATCGCAGCAACCACAACGTCGCTGTTCCCACCAGCAGGCTGGTGAGTGTAGAGCTTCACAAGAATATAACACCAGTATGCACGTGGGCCGAACGGGGGCGGCCGTCGTTCTCACGCACCACCAACGACATTTCAACACATCCTGCCCCCATGGGCGAAGAGGCGACCCAAACTCCGGACGTAGCTCACGCGGTCAGCGACGGTGACTAGACACCCTAGAGACTTGCATGCATTACAGCAGAAACACCGCTGCCCTCCCGGGGACAGCCGCCCGTTCGCCGCGGTTCTGTTCTGAAGACCGGGCGCTCCCCGCCTTCGTGACGCTGGCTGCTACTGCACTCACGCGCCCCCGTCAATTGTCACCGTCACGGCGTCAATGTCACGCCTCCGGTGATCAGCTGGCGCCCCTGACCGTGTGTCGGGTCGGCCGGCAGCAGCGGCGGCGGGGCGCGGCCGGCCGGGTCGGGTCAGCACCCCTGACCGCTGGCCGACCCGCTGGCAGCGTTACCTCACCGGCCGACCATTCTAACGCAAACACGGCTTTGTCTCAGCGTCGGCCGGCGCCGACGGCACTTTCACCGTGCGTTTCCGCGGTTTCTTGCTAAATACCGGCGGCCGAGCGCCGCGCGGGTGATCCTCGGCCGCGGGCTGCCGCGGCCTTGACCCCTGACCCGGCAACGGATCGCTCATCTGCGCGCGGTCCCTCCGGCTGGCGGCCGCTCCGGGTGTGATTACTGTGCGCCGGACGGCTCCGCAGTGATCCATCAGACGGCATGGACGGCTCGTGCCCCGGTCTGTTGTTACTGGCGGCAGCAGGTGTCTTGGCTGGCATTAGGTTGCGAGAGTTCGACGAAATTGACTAGCTCTTTACTGCTGGAGTATCATTTGTGGCTTGGTATTTCCCTTCTAAGTGATCGTAATTGAAAAATTGGCTATGCTGATCGCAGGGACAATTTCCCTACTTCAAATCATAAGATATTATTGCGCAACGTGGCGAAACAGATTTCACAAATTTTTGTGCGGAGATATTGCCAACTCGTCTCCCAGCGATTCTCAGCGAATGACACCGGCCCAGAGTTGAGGACGACTGGAGAACCGCAAAGCTGTGATTGACCTCAATGAAGTTCGCTCTGGGTTTGAAAGGTCGGGAATCTTAGGCGTCTTGCCGAGAGTTATCATGATAATTTACGAATGCAGCGTGTGTCGATCAAGATCGGTCACCTGCAGTTGATAGAAAGCATTTTCCATAGGCCCATCAGGCCGGCATTCAAAACATAAAATAACGAGCTCACTGACGGTGAATCATCTGGCCTATCAGCGCCAGATGGCAGACAAGCCTACCAGACGCGGAATCAGAACTGCCATAATCCTGACTGCTGGCGCACCCAACTTCATCTTTGGGGTGGGGGAGGGCGGTAGCATAAAAGTCCTAAACTAACCGTTGTTTTCATCGCTTACACGGGACGTTTAACACAGTACTTGTTATTGTTTACATGAAGAAAAGTCATTAAGTTCTGTGACCTGATAGGGTCGGCTGCGATACAGCGGAACCGGCTCCCTCCCCTCGGGGCACACGTCGGCGGCTCCAGCCCGGGCTCACCCTCCTCACCGCGGGCTTCGCAAACACCGGGCCATCCAAGGCCGCACAGCTTCAGCGCTCTCAGCTCCATCAACAGTACCCCGGGCAGGCCCGGTGACACCAGGAGCCGCGCGGGCGAGCGTCATTCTCGAAGTGCTGCCCGAAGACGCATCGGAGCATCTGAGGACTTGCCTAGGCTGGCTCTGTCCACGAGCCAGCGGCCGTCAGGCTGCCGTCGGCCGCCAGGCCCGTTCGGCCGTCAGAGCGGCGGTCCGTTCGCCGCTGTAGTCACGCCTTCCCCCCCCCCCTCCCCCTCCCCTCCCGTCCAGTCGGCACGCTAACCGACCGCAGCCCGAGCGGAGGCCTTGCACCCGTGACCCCGTCTGTCGCGCCGCCCCGCCGTGTGGGAGCGGACAGCGGTGCGCGCGCGCGACCTTCACCCCTCCCCTTACCACCACCTCCTCGGCGGCGCTGCCGAGCTGCGCACTGACGTCCGTGGCCCCTACCGATGACGTTGTTTGGACCGGCGGCGGCAGCGTGTTCCACTGCCGGGCTCGGGTCAGCCACGGGGGTCGACCGATCGCGATTGTTACAAGGGTGATGGTATCGGCCACCATTAAGCCATCGCGGGCGCGGGCCGCGGCGCGGCGGGTTCCCGTTGATTCCATTACGGCACATTGTGTGGACGCCTGGCGACTCGGGCGGAGATTATTAGCACGCGGCGGAGGGGGCGTCTGCGGATCCGGCCGCCGACGGCGCCGCGTCCATTCGGGGTGTTGATGGAGGCGCTGGTGGGCGTGATGTGTGATATATGGCAAAACCATTAACGGCACAGGTGTGCGAAGTATCCGGGAGTGGAAGATTGTGAGGAGATTAGGAGAGTGTTCCAGACGTGCTGGTTCACATGCTTCTGCATTACACGTAGCCCATTCGTATAAGGGGTTGGTTTGTTGCGGCTTGTACACGTGCAGTAGTGGCTGGGAACGTGCGAATGCCTGCATAGTGGATAGCCTAAATTGTCGTTTGCTTGCATGCTAACAATTTGTGTAGATTATAACGTTACAATCGTTATAATGAGACGCCTTGCGTTGTTTTACATCAGCTTTAATAAAGCTGTGTAATGTCACATTGACTCACCTTTAAACAGGGATGCGAGAGCGTGGGGGAGAGGGGCTGAGGCGCCCTCCAACTTTCTGCAAATGAGCATATTGACTATTTGAGCGTTGACTGGACACCAACTGTCCCCTTCCTCATCCTAGGAGTGTTTTCCTTGCTCCGTTGTCCCCACTGGACGTGTAAAAACAGCGTTTTCAACACCTCATGTTGTCTTATTGCAAATGCAACGCAAATCCTTTTCCGGAAACAGCGACCATTAGCTGTAGTGAGTTTGCAGTTGGATACAAGGCATGGTTGAAATGCAGTTTTAGAATAAAGCCCCGCGAAGATTTTGAAATGAAATTTACTTTTGGCGTCCCCGAGTGCAAGCGGTAGCCTTCAAGCTTCAAGCCTTCAAGTGGTAGCCTTCAAGCGGTACTCATCACTCCGGCTAATGGCATATTTTGCTTTTTTATAAATTGAAATTTTGTTTTCCTGTTGGACCTCGCCAAGTATGGTGAAATGTTATCGCAGTGAGCACCATCGGAGTGACACCAACGAATGCGTTCCGTCCGGCTGCCTCAGCCTAGGTCCCCGATCCTCATCACCACCTGGCGCGCCTCCGTAGCAGGGAGAGGGGGGGGGGGAGGGGAGTCTGTCGTCTCCTGTTGCCACGTCCAACAGGACCTCCCTGCATTCGTGTTGGTGTTGCCGGCCGCGCCGGTAGCCTGCTTCCCGGTTTTGTCGACGGCCCGTCCGCTGCCCGGTTTTGTCGACGGTCCATCCGCTGCCCGGTTCGCCAACGGCCCGTCCGCTACCCGGTTTTGTCGACGGCCCGCCCGCTGCCCGGTTTGCTAACGTCCCGCCCGCTGCC